CCCCCCCCCAATAGCTAGCAATCCAAAACAGTCCAGTGGCACCTTTAAGACCAAGTTTTATTCAGGTACAAGCTCTCCCTCCTCTGCGAGGACAGATCTGCACGTTCCCCCCCACACTAGCTAGCAGTCCAAAAGAGTCCAGTGGAGCCTGAGCGGTGGGTGTTGCCTTCTGACACACTTCCGGTGATGCCAGTGGGTGTGGCATATGCAAATGAGTTATGTTAATGAGCTCCTGCACCTCTTTTTCTATGAAATGACCTCTGGACACACGGCAGCATTTCACAATGTGAACTTCCTCGATCTTCCCCTCGAAATCTGAAACGAGACAGTCTGCTCCGCCTCCTCGTTCTCTTGCGTGTGGGCAGGACTGAGCAAAGGGCGGGGGGCATCGTTCGCCGAGTTTACACCCTTCTGCATTTTCGAAAATGATCTCCACGCTTGCCCACCCCTGTCCCCTTTTTCTCTCTCCCGACAGTTTCACAGCCAAAGCGCAATTTCACGGCAGTCAGAACCCCCAAAGACATCACATCGGAAAACTCCATCTCTAGGTAAAAAGGGCCGGGTGGGGGGCACCTCTCTAGGGTTCCCAACCTCCAGGTGGCAACGGTAGATCTCACAGAATCACAGAGTGGGAAGGGACCACAAAGGCCATCTAGTCCAACCCCCAACTCAGTGCAGGACCAGCCTAGAGCATCCCTGACAAGTGTTTGTTCAGCCGCTGCTTAAAAGCCAGTGAGGGGGAGTGCACTACCTCCCCCAGGCAGCCGATTCCACTGTACAGAAGTTTTCCCTGAGATCCAGCCGGTCCCTTCCCGCCCTTAATTTAAACCCATCCTCGCGAGCCCACAGGAACAGCTCCCTGCCCTCTTGTAAGTGAGAACCCTTCCGATACTTCAAAAGAGCCATCCTGTCCCCCCCTCAGCCTCCTCTTCTCCGGACTGAACATTTCCAGGTCCCTCAGCCATTCCTCACAGGCAGGGGTCATTTCCTGCGGGAGCGCACAGGAGCGGAGCTCCGGCAGTAAGGAGCCCAGCGTGAGGGCACATGCAACAAGCCCCGCCCCCTGCTCCCAGCAGCCCTCAGTCGGGCCACGAGGAGCAAGAAGCAGCCAGGAAAGTTGCAGAGCCCCCCCCCCCCGGCCCGACTTCAGGTACAAGCTCTCCCTCCTCTGTGAGGGCAAATCTGCACGTTCCCCCCCCCCAATAGCTAGCAATCCAAAAGAGTCCAGTGGCACCTTTAAGACCAAGGTTTATTCAGGTACAAGCTCTCCCTCCTCTGCAAGGACAGATCTGCATGTTCCCCTCCCCCCCAATAGCTAGCAATCCAAAAGAGTCCAGTGGCACCTTTAAGACCAAGGTTTATTCAGGTACAAGCTCTCCCTCCTCTGCGAGGACAGATCTGCACGGCCCCCCCCCCACAGCTAGCAATCCAAAACAGTCCAGTGGAGCCTGAGCAGTGGGCGTTGCCTTCTGACACACTTCCGGTGATGTCAGGGGGTGTGGCGTATGCAAATACGTTATGCTAATGAGCTCCTGCACCTCTTTTTCCACGAAATGACCCCTGCTCAAAGGGCTTCTTGGTCTCCAGGCTCCCCCGATCATCCTCGTCGCTCTCCTCTGCACGTGCTCCGTTCTGCCCACATCCTTTTGGAAGTGAGGTCTCCAGAACTGCACACAGTACCCCAGGTGCGGCCTGAGCAATGCAGTGTACAGCGGGACGATCACATCTCCTGCTATTCCAGTTGATCTCCGGACGACCGAGACCAGTTCCCCTAGAGAAAATGGCTGCTGTGAAGGGTGGACTCTGCTGAGGTCTCTCCCATCCCCAAACCCCCATCTTCTAAAGACCCCACCCCCAAATCTCCAGGTGTTTCCCAACCCAGAGCTGGCAACCTTCAAAACCTAGGCTGGGGCAACCATCCCCTTTCTGTTTCTTCTCTTTCATACCTGGCGGCTTCCGGTTTGGTGTAGTGGTTGAGTGCGCGGACTCTAATCTGGGAGAACCGGGTTTGCTTCCCCACTCCTCCACTCGCAGCTGCTGGATGACCTTGGGCAAGCTGTAGTTCTGTCAGAGCTGTCCTTGAAAAAGAGCCGTTTCTGTCAGAGCTCTCTCAGCCCCACCTACCTCACAGGGTGTCTGTGGTGGGGAGGGGAAGGGAGAGGAGTTTGTAAGCCTCTCTTGAGACTCCTTCGGGTAGTGAAAGGCAGGGTATAAATCCAATCTCCTCCTCCTCCTCCTCCTCCTCC